ATGTATGGCAGGGAACAAGATGGATCTGTGAGCCATGTCTTGGGTTGCTCTCCCAGCAGGATGCTTGCAGAGCCATCATCTGAAGCAGCATTGGCAGTATTCAGCCAGTACTGGAAAATTCAGAGTTTGAAGCTGCCTTGGCTGAATCCACCCAGCTCTGCAATCATGGGATAAGACTGGGATGGAGATGAGTGGGAGGTGAGAGCAGCACCTCTGGTGACCCTCACTGGAGCCACGAGGGCTGTGCTGGCCACAACAGCCCGGCAAGAGCCGAGACTTCCATAAGCCCCTGTGCTTGAAGGCAAACAGCCTTGGCAGGGCAAGACCAGGAAGGGCAAGGTGTGACGTGCTCCTCGCCAAAAAGCAGGGAGACAGGATGAGGTGGGACGGCAGAGGCCATTTGCTGGTGGACCTGGCATGTCCCCATGGGTCACACACCTTGCAGCGCTGGGCTTGGCAAAGCAGCGGGGCTGTGGGCAGGCAGTGCTGGCCCGGGCTCTGCTCGCAGCACTCCGGGATGCTGTCGGCAAGGTCCTGGCACGCTGGCCCTGAGCCCGCAGCCACCACCCGCACCACAATCTCCCCTTTGTTTTTTGTGCCCGTGCATCCAGAGGCTGTAGCTGCGTTTCCTACACCCACTGGGAGGATGTGGGATTTTCCTGGCTGCAAAATGCAGCAGCAAGAAGCTCTGCAGGCTGGGCCAGTGACTCAGCTGCCAGCGATGGGCAGAGGACAGTTCAGACGGGCTCTCCCCCTCTGTGTGTGTAGCAGCAGCAGCCCAAGCCACGGTGCCCTTGCAAACCTTAATCCTTTTGTTTTCGACCCCACTCCTAATTTTGCCATGCAAGAGAAGAAATTGATCGCCAGCAGGAGATACCCCAACTGGTTTGGAGAAACAAACAGATGATTTTTATTTTCAAAATATTTCATTCCTTTCATCATAGTCATTTCTGCAGAAACACAGTCAGAAGTTGCTGTGTAGGAGTATGGATTTCTGGTAACGAGGCCACCTACACAAATCCACTGCAGGAAATAGGAAGCCCATACCTAAAGCCTCCATTGTCTAAGGCCCAGTTTTGCAGAAGTGCTTAAGCACCGCTTAGTCCCACTGCAGGCAATGGGAATAGAGGATGCTGAGCCCTTGGCAAGCGGGGGTCAGGACTGCACCATGCTAGACCTTGACTCAGTGAGTCACAGCACTGCAGGCATTTGAGAGCCAGGAGAATTCTGAATCTCGGCGCAAAAATCCCCACACAATAAATAATATCCTGTTAATTCATCTATTGCATCTTGGGTTGATAGTAGGAAGAATAAAAGTACCTGTTTCTTCCCTCCCGCCTTCAAAATCTCTTTCATTTCCTGAAAAACTCCTTTAATTGTGATACATAAGCATTTTCAACTCACATTTTCTCTTGGATTTGTAATATTGCTATTTTTAATGCCATTGGCAATAATAGAGTTGTTTTCTGCAGAATGAGCCGAAGCATTTAGCCCAGCCAGACAGTGACCCAGTTTATCAGGATTCAACAAAAAATATTTATATATATTTCACAGCACAAGCAGAAAAAATATTCAAACCTCTTGGCCATTTTGATGAGTACTTTATTGGTTCCTAATGTTAAGGAGGAGGATGAGAAAGAGCCATGTAAAGGGATATGTTTACTGAACACTAGTCTCAACCATGGTAATAGTCTGCTTAGAGAAAATAATTAGTAGCAGTTTTAGCACCTGTTTTGCCTGCTATCTGCTTTAGATGGACTGTACCGTCACTGACATGGATTTTTTTCATCTAGGCAAAAATCTCTTTTTACTTCTGCAAAAGGTACCTGTCATTCCACAAGTAACATCAATAACTTCACCAATAATTTAGTTAACCCAATAGGAAAAAAACCCAAACAAACCCTAAAAACTTTGTTAAAATTATGTCCTTTCCAAAAGGAGCTATTCTGCAGCAATTCTCTTCAACCTCACAAGTGTTTTATGGACTGATTTAAACAAAATATTCAAAAGACTTGTGGAAGCCATGCTTCTGTGGATTTCTTGGCCAATCATGTCCTAAGCTCTCTAAAGAGGAAACATGAGAAGCACAGACTTAAAACTTACACTGAGATGATCTAATACCATGTTTTTTGAAGCTGCTTAAATGTTGCTTTTTTTAACTGAAATACCTTCAATCTACAATGTTCATGGTCACTTTTTCCTTGATGTTTAGAGTTTTTATAGTACTTCTCATTTGGATGTCTGAAACAATTTAGAAGAAAGTATGTATCTGTTTTATCTGTATTGAGGTGGAGAAGGAACAATACTAGGAAGCAATTTCACACAATAGCATGGATGTGTGAATTATGTTGGTTTTGTTTCATTGCACTACGCTATGTTTTTGGGTAGAGAGTGGTCCAAAATAATGTTGGAAATGTGCTAGGTTAGCTGTTCCATTTGCTTCCTATGGAAACCTGTTTTTTATGGCTTTATTTAATGTGGGGGGTTCATTTCATAGTGAAACTTACATCACTGCTAGAACCAGTCCGAGGATTTCAGAGGAAATAAAGTGGCCTTGAGAGCAAGGGAATTTTACACCTTTGCAGCCCAGGCTTTGCAGTTTGCTTTGTTAATATTTTCTGTATTGAATCTAATTCAGACAAGCAAAAAAAAAGAAAAAAAAAGAACGCCTTGAGCAATTTCAAGTTCTGCAATTAGTGGCATCCAGGGCTGCAAAGAGTTCATAGGTTTGGGTCCCCACAAGGCTATTGGAGTTATACCACATCCCTAAAGGTCAACACACTCACCTTGGGGACAAGAGTCTAATTGTCAAATCCTTCTTCCTGTTGACTCCAAGCTAGGCCACAATTCCAGCTTTCCCACGTCCCAAGGGAGGGCCACAAGCATCCTGCAGCGAGCCTGGCTCTGTCTCTCAGCTGAAAGTGGTTCCATTTGATAGCAGTATTCCCAAAGAGAGAAAAGAACTCTACAGAGTGGTCAGAGCACTCGGGGGTGGGGGGGGACTGTGTGAAAGGCAAGTTGAGTTCTCTGCTCTCCTGAGAGAGTGCCTGCAATTATTGATACAGAGTGGGAGTTTCAGAAAGTGTGGTTTGGGGGTTTAGCTTTGAACAACTGACTAATAATTACAGCATTTTGCACATGGGTTGTGAGAGAAGCCTTGCATTCTTCCTTTCAGAGAAAATAATTCTGTATTCAACCACATATTTCAAGCCCAGTCTGGATGATGTTTGTGTGCCCGCTTTCCCTCCTCATTGAAAGCCACAGCGGAGGCAGAGAAGCACCAAAGCCTCACGCACCTCACGCGTCAGTAAGTGGATGCCCTCTAGCGAGGCTGCCACGCTCTCAGGTCTATCGGCCCTCGCTGTATTGAGAGGTGTGACACAAAGGAAGCTGGCTTTGCAGCGTTATCCCCTGAGGCTGCCTTTCCTCAAGTGGCCAAGGCTCATCTCAGCCTCTAGTCGGAGCACTTTGCTGCCCTGTGCCCTGCTCAAAATCCACTTATGCTACCTAGGGGCATTTAAAAGCAGCTGTAGTGTGGCAATATTTGATTTATTTAACTCAGAGAGGAGGTTTCCAAGGAGTTAATACTGAACATTTCAAATGCTTGGTGTGACTTCACCAGGCAGTTTGCAGGATGTGAGAGTCTTCAAAACTGTAAATGACCAATTTAAATATTTTAATATTAAATGCCTCATCAGTTTATGGAACTATTTGGGCTCTGTTAGTAAGACTCCTGGCTTGTGAATGTACACAAATGTTTCCTGTGTTGCTTCTCCCCATCCTCTTTTAAATGCCAAGATTAGGTGTACCTGAAAATAAGCCTTTTTTCTTCTGCACTGTTAGAAGCTGATCCTGTGCTCATTTCTCTGAAAACAAACTCACACCTAATGAGGTGAGAACACAGCACTCCTTGGCAGTTCCTTGGGTCTTTTTTCCCTAAAGCCAGCTGAAGATTTGCTTTAGTGTAGGACTGGCAGGACTGTGGGACTGTACCGTGGGCCTGAGAGATGATGCAGAAGTTAGAAGCTGCATGTGGGAGATTAAAATTGCCATACAATTGTCATATTTTGGAATATAACTTTTTAAGCAATTTTTTTCCTCTTGAACTATTTTGTATTTTATTAAAAGCCTGGTACCTTTTCAGTTCAAAACACATCTCATTAGAAGACATTTGCAATATTATCTCCCAAGCAGCTGTTTATTGCCCTTACCAATGCTTTGAAATTTAGATGTTTGCCAGACACAAACTGCAGTTCCACTTTCCTTTCTGCACAGTGTCTGCCTAGAATGAACACTCAGAGTGAAAACCAGGCTTTGCTGATGGTGCAGAGGGAGGATCTCAGCTGGGTGCACACAATAAATGTCTGAATTGCAGCCACCTGAGGGGAATCTGCAGGTGCCAGGTAAGGACCCACTCGGTGTCAGCTTAAGGAAAGGAGGGATGCAAAGGATGGGTTCACAGCCAGCTGCCAGGCTGAAGAGGGGATCCTGCAAAATAAAGCATCACGAGACACTTGTTAACACTTGCAAGTTTTGTGCTCATCCAGACACTGCTTGACATTCCAGACTTCAGAGATTAATGGGCAAGCCAGAAATAACATTTCACCATTGTAGCACACATGGCAGGGATGATTGTGTGGCTTTTTCCTACCTTCAGGGCAGATAATGGGATTAGAACAGGAAGAGAGAAGTGACATGCATCATAGGTAAACCACAGTCATCAGTCTCTTCCTGTGGCAACATAAAAAAAAAGTACAGTCACTCTAATAGGCTCTGGGATTCCCCACAATCAACTAGAACTTCAAATTTCCCTTTCTGAATATATGTGGTTAGTACTAGAAACTTTTAATCAGCAGAGTGGAAGAGGAATTACGTGACAGACTACTGCACCTAAGAATTCCTCTTAGAAAGAAGAGATAAATGAAAGTGAAAATGTGCTTGGTGAACCATTTAAGACTTTAAAATAATTAAGGAAAAAAGAAAATAAGCACAAAAACTTCTTAACTTGCAAAACAGTTTTATTTCACACTTATACAAAGGTAAGACATTTTAAAACACTTGCAGTACTACAGATTACATCTACAGCCACCATGTTAACAGGGGGACTTCTCAGGCCTCTGGAGCTTTACAGGATTTGAAAGTTTTGAAGCTGATTGTCTACAAAGGATAAACCCTCCTGCAGAGCAACATAATCAGATAGCAGGCTGTGTGTCACTGCTCTAGAATTCAGAGGGAAATGTGGCTCTCCAATAAGTCCTGGATTGACAGTATATGAAAGAAATACTGAAGAAAATGAAGGTACTCCTAAGAGAAACATCCCAAAACCTGTGATGTGCGAAATGGATTTGGATTGCATGGATTTAAATCTATTCAGAGCTCCACAGATGTCTGTCCATGGTGAGCGACTTTTTCACTTGAGATGCAAATCCTCTCTGCAGTGTAACTGTCAGCAAGACAAAATTTACTCTACTGCACCATGGAACTGAACTTTTTAGGTACCTGAAATCCTGGAGTAACAGCAGCTCTGTGATGTCTGGGGAGTAAGAACAATGGCACAATGTGTTGCCTGGTTATAAACAATAAACTTTGGTCACCCAAGCAGGTTACATTCAAGTTTCATTCTGGTTTCAGGTGATCAGATAAACACAACAACATCTATGGATGGCACACAGCTCCAAAGGAAGAACCAAATCTACATTTTCTTTCCATTAAATCCAAAAACAACTTGCCATAGGAAAACAGTGTTTCATACAGAAATACAGACAAATATACAATTAATTTTAGAGTCTTTTATGGAAATAAACAACAGGAGACAAATACCAAAAGATAACCTAAAAAACCTTCAAAGGAATAAAAAATACTGTGCTTGTCCCTTCAATCAGTAGCCTTAGGAAAGGCAAAGTAGCCTTTCCCAACAGCAGTGGGCATCTTCACATCTGAAGTGAAGTATTTTTTAGTTAAATAGTAAAACACAGTGGTTTTTATCCAAAATGGCAATCAGGGAAGTTATTATGGTAGAGGGGAAGGGACCCTGCCTTGCAGTATCTTCCTTGACTTCTGCAGTATGTCATTTTGGCAGTCTTGGGTACTGCAGCCCTCCTTCCTCAATTATCTTTGTTGAAAAAGAGAAATAAACCAAAAAATCTGCCCTTTAAGACTTCGTTCACATGGCAGAAAACATGCAGGAGGCACAAGCCCAGTTTTTAAACCTTTTCCAGGTTATCTTTTGGACCAGCAGTATAGCAAGGCAACAGATATTAGTATAAGCTAGTTTTCTTCATGATTCTCAAAAATTCTTGCTCGCTGACTTCCCCATCTCCATCTCGATCAGCTTCATCAATCATTTCCTACAAAACACAGTGTACATTTGATCAGGCACTGGACTCTAAACACAAGACATTCCACTCATTAAAACAACAGTAAATCAGAGGCATATCATGTGAAAACAACTGTGTATTTGACTGCTTTTCATATTTCTGATCTCTCAGCCCTTTTGGTATAGGACGAAATTCCCACCCAATCCCTAGGAGCTACAGAAATGGTCTGTGCCTGTTGGAAAAGCTCTGGCAAATCAGAATGTACCTGAAGTTCTTCATCTGTTAAATTTTCTCCCAGCTCCTTGGCAACCCTTTTCAAGTTTTTGAATGAAATTTTTCCTGTGCCATCATCATCAAATAATCTGAAAGCTTTCAGGATTTCTTCTTTTGAATCCTTTTCACTCTAAACCAAAAGTAAATCATATGTTAATCAGAAAACCCCTGACACTGAGATGTTCCTTTCTCCTATGCTGCCACAAGAATTTCTGCTAAGAATTCCTACCATTTTTTGTGTCATCATAGCCAAAAAGTCTTCAAAGTTGATGGTGCCACTCCCTTCCTTGTCAATGTCTGCTATCATCTTCTTAATCTCTTCCTTCTTTGGCTCAAAGCCTAAGGCACGCATTGCAACCTGTGCCAAAATAGCAAAACCAATTCTGTTAGGAGGCCACCAGAATTTTGGTGTAAGAGCTGAGCTAAAGCCTGTTTTATTTCCTTGTCCAGAACTCTAGTCACAACTCACTGCCATGAAAACACCTCTTCTTTCATCTTGCTGAGCAATAATAGTGTAGGTTTGATATTCTTAAGACGCTGTTTTTCCTATATGGTAGTGGAAATCCATAGTTTATATCAGGCAGAGGTAACTCGTGTTTTCAGGTTACAGATGCAGAAATTGAGCAGAGTGTATGTGAGAAATCAAGGTAAAGGAGATAACTAAATATAAAGTGTTCATGCTTACAAAAAAATCAAACACATAAAATCACAGGGAGACAACTGAGAATCATCTTCACCCTTGTACTACTGTATGAGTGCAAGTGCACACACACTGCCTGACTTGTAACTGAAACACAACTCAGATCTCTGTTTTGTTCTTTTTTAAATCAAAAACCAGGTAATTTTTGGATTACATATATGCAAATATGGTTATAACTTGCCTGAATGCGTGCACAATCTGTGTTTAGTTCTCAGGTGAAGTAAATATTTGATGCTCTGATACCCATCCCAGAACAACACAAGTCCACTTCCCAGGAACAAGCACCTTAGTCATGAAACCTGAAACTGTTTAGTTTCTCTAATGCTCAGCTATTCAAAGCTGTCAGATTTAAATAGCAACATAGTAGAGAAGCCTGTCTGCTTCATGCATTACATGCAGAGTGCACCCCAAATTCAGTCATGACAGCAAGTCATTACTCTTCTTTGTACTCCAAAACTGTTTTAAAATAGGGTTGGACAAACAGAAAAAGCAGCTACATTTTTGAGATCAAAGATTTTTCACCTCAGAGGAAAAAGAAAAAAAAAAGTTTTAAAACCTTCAGTTCTTTTATGTCGATGCTTCCAGATCCGTCAGTGTCAAACAAATCAAAAGCTTCTCTGATCTCCTGCTTTTGCTCTTCTGTAAGTTCAGGTTTCAAGCCACTTTTCTTCCTCTGGGCTGTACCTAAGCCAGGTTTTCTATAGTTGGATGCCTTCAGAAAGTGAAGGGAGAGAACAGATAAGAAACAGCACCTTCCTGGGAGAATTTCAAATACACTTAATAATAAATGACAACAGTAAGACTGTAGCAGAGGTGAGAGACATTCCTTGCTGCAAGTGGTAGACACTGAGTCTCTATGTCAATTTCCTTAGGATACTGTAGAAAGAAAAAAACAGATTTTGTTCCCGGGGAATGAGGATTTGGACTTCCTGTTTTCTGTTTTAAGCTGAAAGATTATCAATTCAAGGAACAATGCCAAAAAAATCAGGTGGGCAGCCTGAAAATGAACGCTCCACTGAGGTGGCCATGACCCTCTGCAGCTCCTGCCAGTTGCCTTTCCTGCAGGTTTACGTGAAAAATACGAGTACAGAATCCTCACAGCTAAAGAGGGTGGTTGCTTAGGGTATTGGCTGTAAATGAGACTCAAAATCAGCCACTCCTGTGGGAAACAAGTTTAAAGGGAACTGTGTGGCTCCAGGCTGCCTGTCCATCGAGTAGATGTGGAGCCAGGCAGCAACATCCAGTGGGAGCAGTGAGATCAGCACACAGTCTGTCCCATAAGGAGAACTAACCTGCTTGTGCTGAGCTGGTGCATCATTATCCAGGACACTTCTGAGACCTTTCCTGCCTCTGGTGTAAGCCAGTGCAGTATAGGGTGTCTTCCACCCCGTCCATAAAGCAGGGGAAAACACCTTCCTCAAGTATAGTTTTGGTTTTAAATCGACAGCAGACAGATTTTCATGCTGCAGTCTTGAATCTGCACAGAATGGTGGAAGGAAAGGCAGTCCCTGCCACCCCCAGCTCCAAGTGGCTAGGCTTTACAGAAGTAAATAAAACAAGCACAAAGCAAGGAATGTGTTACCTAGTTACTGCTGACCAGTGATTTGCCTCTGCTGAAATGTTAACGTGTTTAGGGCTGGGATCTCTCTTTTAACTCAGAAGATTCCATTTTCTTCTATTTGTTAATGAAATTTCGTTTTCCAGCGTGATTTGTCCCTCCTAGGTAGGACTGCAAAGCCATTTGCCTGGCTCACCCGTGACTTCCCTCTGCTATTAGCACACGTATCAGACTTTTACTTTTGATATGCTGCTCTGGGGAGAAGACACACGAGACCTTTTCCGGGCTACGGAGACTTATTGTTCCATTTATTTCACATATGACTTGTGCAAATCCCTTTCAGGTTCCACCTCTGGGCCTGGCCGGTGCCTGACCGACAGCGCTGTGAGGGCCCGAACGATGCGGAGGTCTGTGAGCCGTGCCAAGAAGAACCAGGCACGCCGAGAGCAGGTGACGTATTTCGCGAATCCCGGTGTTTTTCCGGGCGTGTTTTTCCCGCTGGAGTGGGGTGCGCTGTGCGAGGTAACCGGGCAGCAGCGACGGCCTGGGCAGGGGTGGAACCTCAAGGGGGTTTGCACAACGCACAGTGTCGGCGGGAGGGGGCGGAGGGGCTCGGGGGAGGCGGCGGTGGGAAGGGAGCCCGCGGCGGGGAGGGCGCGCTCACCATCCGGCCGGGAATGCCGCTCCGGGCTGGGACCGGACGGGACGGAACGGGACGGCACGGGAGCTCCGCACCGCCGCGCGCAACCGGCACGCGCCGCCCAGCCGGCCAATGAGCGGGAGGAACGAGCGCGGGAAGCCGCCCCCCCTCACGGCGCCGGCCAATCACAGCGCGGCGTGCCCGTGAGGGACAGCTGAGGGAGAGCGAGGGCGGGCTCGCCCGCAGGGAGCCTGAGGGAGCGGCGGCCGTGTCCAGGCAACTCCGTGTCCAGGGAAGCGCCGGGAGCGCGGCCCCTCCGGTGAGACACCCGCACCGGCCCGCCGGGCACCCTCCGGGCCGCAGGAAGCGGCCAGGCCGCTGCCAATGCAGTTCCGGTGTGTCCGCTCCGGGCGGCTTCCCCCCGAACGTGTGGAGCAGGCGGGCCGGGACGCGCTTCCTCTCCCTAGCAATACTACGACATAATATTCAAGCGGACTTTCGCTGTGTGGGATGGGAAAAAAAAAAATAAAAGAAAGATTTTTGGATTTGGAATAGCTACGCAAAGGGGCCTTTAGGGAGCTGGAACAAATGATGTGAATAAATTCCAGTACCTTAAGGGAACTTAGAGGAAAGATGGGGCAGGACTATTTGCAAGGGCATATAGTGATGGGACAAGGGGGGATGGGTTCAAACTGACAGATAGTCGATTTAGATTGGATATTAGGAAGAAAATCTTTATTGTGAGGGAGGTGACGGACTGGAACAGGTTGCCCGGAGAAGCTGTGGATGCCCCATCCCTGGAAGTGGCCAAGGCCCGGTTGGATGTGGCTCTGAGCACCCTGGTCTGGTGGATGATCCTGCCCATGGCAGGGGGGTTGAAACTGGATGGTCTTTAAGGTCCCTTCCCACCCAGACCATTCTGTGATTCTGTGATTTGAATCTGAGCATAAGAGGTACAGGACTCAGGGTTCTCAATTCTTCATGTGTATACTTCATTATTCAAAAAGGGAGCTTTATTTTAATCCATGTCTTCTGCCACGGGACCATGGCGTGGAAGAGATTTTGAGGGAAAGATTTCTTTTTGGTGTGTTAAGAAGGAATAGTTGGTCAAAACTTTACATCTCGGCAGTTTGTAAGTTATGAAGAAGTGGCATTGCTTTTATTTTGCTTAATGAAGTATTCATGCATGTTAGTTGGACTAAACAGGCTTTGGAGTAAAATACGATTTTCCAGAGTTGAAGGTTAAATTCAGCATGGCGTGACTGTTGTTCCCAAGAAGGATCCGCACAGAGCTCTTGAGTTTGGTGTGTAATTTGTCTATTCTGCTCTAATGAACTTTTGCCCTAAGTAAGGCAAATAACTGAAATTCCAGACATCAGGGCAGGAGGAGGTGGTAGTTCAGCCTCTACTGCCGGAAGTGTAAGAAACCGTGGGAATGAACAGCTCCTTACTATCAGCCAGCCAGAAACAATCCCATGGTATTTTAACAGTGCCCCATTTCAACACTCTGCCCATTGATTTCTCATAATAAGAGCACAGGAAGAAAGCTTTATATGAAAGAAAGCCGTGCTCAGGGGTAGACTGTTGAATTATTTTTTTGGTGATTTGTGCTCTGGTGTCCTGTGAGGATGGGGCAGTAATTTGTCATCTGTTCACAGATGCTGCCCACTGCCCATGGCTTTCAGGGATGTGAATGCCAGGAGACACATTGGACTCCAGCAACTCTCAGCCTTAGCATCCACTGGGAGAACATTCCTGGGGCCAATGAAATCACATAAATTCATTGTGGATGAAATCACCAACCAGAGCACATTGATTTGTTCTGCTGTTAGGCTGATGGAGAGTTTGGATTTGACAAGTGCTGTTGGACAGCTTCTTAACGAAGCCATTCAGGCTCAGAACAAGGAGTTTAAGACGGGGATGAGTACCCTGTTGTTCCTGGTTGGAGCGTGGAGCAGTGCTGTGGTGGAGTGCCTCCAGCAGAGCGTTCCTGTTCCAGCTATAGTGTCTGTGATGTCTGAGGGGTTGAACTCCTGCTGTGACAGAGTCCAGTGTCTTCAAATGCCAATACATGATGTAAAGAAAGAGCTGTGTTCTAGCAGAGTTAGGCCAAAGGCTTTTGAAAGCAAAACTGGCCAAGCTGGATGTGATGGTCTTACAAATCCTTGGAATTTGCTGTGTTTTCAGAGAGATATTTCTGCAGCAGAGGCGGTAATTCCAATAAATTCTTGTTCCCATCAAGGAGATGATTGTCACAAGTTCCTGGTTTCACCCTTGGCTGGCTTTGGTTCAGTGGCTTCTGTTGTCAAGGCAGTGGGTGACAAAAGTTCATCTGCACTGTCTGGAAGTGGTGTTACTGCATCCAGCTGTATCACACGGAAGTTAACCCACAGCAGGCACTTCAGCACTCTAGGGAAAAGCTGTTTTGCAAGTCAGGACCGTCATGTTCAGGGACACCTTTCAGGACCATCAGCAGATCTCTGTGGATCTTGTGGTTTAGGACACCTGGCAGTGGCTCTGAGCCATGGGAACCAGACCAGCGTGAAGCTGCTACAAAGCATCGCTGCTTATCAGCAAGAGAGAGCAGAGTGCGGTGGCTCTTCCCAGGTTAATATCGCAGAGATTGTGACCTGCTGTGTGCTGGGCCTGCCCGAGAGCTATTCCTGTGTCTCCCCAGGCTTTGTCACATTGGTGTCACCAGAGCAAGCCACAGTCGTCAAACACTTTGCAGACAAACCCCTCCGTGTTCTGCTGATGGACGGTGACCTCACGGAGGGGTACCGACACTTAGGTTTTAACAGACCACCTAACGTAAGGACCATTTTGGAGCGTCCCACTCCACAGGGAGGCAGGGCAGGAGATGTGTGGCTAAACAGAATGTCGGATATTCTGATGAGCTTTGAGGTAAACCTGGTTTTGGTCAAAGGAAACGTGTGCAAAAACTTCATGGAAAGGTGCATCGCCAGCAGGATATTGGTAATTGGCTGTGTGGCTCGGGATGTGCTGTGTGCCTTCGGGGCAGCCACTGGTGCCCAGGCAGTGACGTACCTGAGCCAGCTGAGCGCTTCCTCTGTCGGGAATGGGGCCTGGGCGGAGCTGTGGAAGACCGGCGATGGGCGCGCGGTGGATTTGGGTGAGCTGCTGCCGGCACGGATCAGCGCGGGAGGCATCCCCCTGCTCACGGCCGTGCTCACCACTGCCCTGCCTTCCAAGGCGCAGCTCCTCGAGGACCAGTTCTGGACTTTGCTGTATCGACTCCATCACGCTCTAAAGGACGGGAAGGTTTTCCCTGGGGGCGGTGCCGTGGAGCTCTTGTGCCTCAGTCACATCCAGGCCCTCGCAGAGCAGCCCGGGCGACCGGGAAACGACAGAGCTGTGAGAGAAGTTCCCAGTCCCTGGCTGGCAGAGTATAAATCCATTGTGCTCCAGGCACTGGCAAGTGGCTGGAAGCGGTACCTCTCTGTACTCCTGTGTAACACTGCAAAGGCCAGCTCGGAGCTGGAAGCAGGTGCCTCCGTGGATCATCATCTCCAGAAAGCAGCGGCTTGTGGCTCTCCCTCAGCTTACATTTTGGAAGAGTTTAGGAGAGGTGGAGTGCTCAGGAGTGGCTATGAGCCCTTCCCTGACCAGGTCACAGATTTAAAGGTTTGTGATAACGTTACAGCCAAGACAGAGGCGTGGAGGAGAGCTCTGGACCTGGTGCTGCTGGTGCTTCAAACTGATGCCGAAATTATCACAGGCCCCAGAGGGAATCAGATCCTGAACTCGCCTGTGTCAAGTGAATTTATGTTTTTGTAGGATTTTGAGGATTTGTATGTCCATGAGTCAAATTTGTAAGTCCATGGGAGAAGCCTGGGTGCAACCTACATGTCTTTATAAAGCAAACAGTGAGATGTGATTGTGACTTTAGAATGTAACAGCAGAAGTCAGAATGAGAGACAGTCACAAGGTAATTTTTTATTTCTAGAAATGAGAATTAAATAACAAACAAAAAACCACTTGTGGGTTTATCTCTAACCCAGGCCATGCATTTCTAGCTAATGGTACTGCCTGTATGGATGCCCCCTAATGTCTTCTGAAGAAAGGTGGAGATCTCTTACATTACATTGCTGTACTTGTGTTAAATGAAAGAATATTCTGTAATTATTTCTTAATTAATACCTTGTTCTTAATTTCTGTACATTGCAAACATAAGAGTTAAACTTGAAATAATGTGAGTGTTACGTTTTATACTGAGAGGTTGTATGAATAGATTCTATTTTTGCATATTTATATGGTCCATACATCTCTGATTTCCCAAGGTAGACCCTCTGGAATTTCTCTGGTTTGACTAATTCAGGCTGAATCCTTCCTTTTGGTATTACAGACTGGATGCATCTCTACACAAAATTTTCTTTTACATTGCCAACTGGATTTGTAGATCATTTCCATGGGGTCTTTCAGCTATCCTTGCAGAGAGGAAAATGTTGCTGTAAGTTTTAGGTGCTGGCTAACAACTGGGAACAAATCTCTCCTGGTGACTGAGGCACGGCATTTTTGCTGTGTTACAGCACTGGCAGTTTGAAAGCTGGGCACTGGAGAGCTGGCACTTCATTGAAAGAGAGAGTTGTGTAGCTATGGAGATATGTTTTTTTCTGAACTTGGCATTCTGAGTCACCCTGAAAGTGAAATGTCTCACCAGTCTGGTGAAAATAGAATGGAAAATGAATGGAAATGGTGATGCTAAAGAGGATCCTTGTCATGAAAATGCTCATGGCTGGCAGCACAGATAATGAAATTCATCCACAAATAAGGTTTAGAGACTTATTTGGGGTATCTGTACTAAAGTCATGTTATATCTCTGACCTGAAACTAAATATTCTGGTTTTCTGTCAGATCCCAGAATTTGGTGGATTTTGGCAAAATACTATAGGGGCTTATAATTTTAATTTGGAGCAGTAGTTCCGAGCAGCATAAGGATCTCGTTAGATTACAGTTTTGCAATTACTATTTTCATTATTAAAAGGTTGGCCATGTAATGTGTAGCTGCTGGGCCGTACTCTTGATGTACCAAGCTGTGAGAAAGAGTCTGGTAGATCAAAAGAGACAAAAGGAGCTGAGGGCTGTTAAGTGAGAATGAAATGGAAACACAACATATAAATAAATATAAACAGACTCTGCTGCTCTGCAAGACTTTGCAGCTCATGTTTGGCTTTACACTGTTTTTCTTGAGCCTCCTGTGCTGAGCATTGCATAACCCCTGTTCCCAGGGAAAGATCCACTTGGACTTTATTTGAATAATAGAGTGAAGTGTGTTATGGAAAATCTGCAGACAGGAATTGTATTGAGGTGGTCCAACATCTATTTATGGGACTCTTAGACACTGGGAGCTGACGCACCAAATGTTGAGAAAGTCCAAAATGATGTAATTTTTCCAATCAGGCTTTTGAAAAGCACATAATGATATATTTAAATGTTGTGATGCCAAACCAGGACAAGAGGTTTT